AGAATTTTCACTTCCTTTACATTGAGGTGTACTTTTTACTGAAGGCTGTATCTTTGATCTTCATTAGTAAGTATTTCAATGAGGGTAAAGGAGCTGAAAAGAAAATTTCAAAGGGCAGTTAAGAAAAAGTAAAGTATTATAATGAAATGCGCAAAGACCTGGAGTTAGAAAATAAAAAGAGAAGAACATACTAACCATTCCTCCTGCTGAAAACTGAAGAAAAACTTCAAGCCCTGACTTGGAATATGGAAGGGTTCTATGGGCAAAATATCGAACAACACAGGAAGTATCAAAGAAGATGGAAGGAATACACAGAGTAACTGTACCAAAAAGAATTTGGTCAGTGCTCAAAAAGTAGCATCTGATCCAGAACTCAAGTTATTCAGTCAAAACTGCACTGAAATCATTGGTGAAAAACAAGGCAGTAGGTATTAATAGAATACAATATGAAATATTTCAACAAATTGATGCAGCGCTTAAAGCTTCCATTAATCTATGCCAAGAAATTTAGAAGACATCTACCAGGTCAACCAACTGGAAGACATCCATTTTTTGTGCCTATTCCCAAGAGAGGTGATTCGATGGAATGTGCAAACCATCGAATAATATCATTAATATTACATGCATGTAAAATTTTGCTGAAAACAATTCATAAACAGTTGCAGCAGTACATCAAAAGGGAGCTTCCAGAAATTCAATCTGGATTCAGAAGAGGATGTGGAGTTTACTGACTTCACATGGATCTTGGCTGAAAGCAAAGAATACCATAAAGATGTTCACCTGAGTTTTATTGACTATGTTAAAGCACTCAACTGTGTGAATAGTAACTATGGTTAACATTGCAAGGAATGGGTATTCCAGAACACTTCATTATGCTTATGGGGAACCTGTATATAGAATGAGAGGCAGTCATTTGAACAGAACAAGGGGATACTGGATGGCTTAAAATCAGGAAAGGTGTGCACCAGGATTGTGTCATTTACCATACTAAATCAATCTATATGCTGAGCAAAGACTCTGAGAACCTGGATTATATGAAGAACGTGGCATCAGGATTGGAGGAAGTCTCATTAACAAGCTGCAATATGCAGATAATGCAATCTTCTGGAGGCTAGCCTCTGAAATCAAGGTGTCAACATGATTGATTCCTTCTGGAGACAATGAAGTAGAATCTGTTCGCTGCCTGTTTCCTAGCTCATCGCAGTTGCCTGGCAATCCTAAACATTCCTTGTTTGTAAACACATCACTCTGCTTCCATGGTCACATGGTGTTCTTGTCTGTGCCTTTTATTCAGATTTCCATATTCTTTTAAGAACACCAAAGATTAGTTTAAAATCAGGAAAGGTGTGCACCAGGGTTGTATCCTTCCACTATTCTCATTCAGTCTGTATGCTGAGCAAATAATACAAGAAGCTGGACTCTATGAAGAAGAACATGGAATCAGGATTGGAGGGGAATTCATTAACAACCTGCGATATGCAGATGATACAACCTTGCTTGTTGAAAGCAAAGAGGACTTAAAATACTTTCTGATGAAAATCAAAGACCACAGCCTTCAATATGGGTTGCACCTCAATGTAAAGA